ATGTTTCTTCTCTGCCGTCATCGTCCCACCCGGTCCCCCCCTTTGCTGGTGTTACTCATGCTGGAGGAAAACATCTGTAGCATGAGCTCATTCCCCCTCAGCCACTGCCTGGCCACCAGCTGCTGGAAAATGGCCCTCTGCCAGTGTGGGGTGGGGGGATGGAACCAGGGCTCAATGCTGGCCCCACCAGGGGTCTTGGTCCCATGGCAAGGGGGGAGCAGCCCCCTGTACCCTGCTGCTGGGGGGCTCTGTGGTCCCCACCCCTGGTTGTGGGTCTCAGCCACATTTTGAGGCACTTTCACACCCCTGTCCCGGGTGGGAGTCAGCAGTAAGGCAGTGTCTGGGGAGAGGGAGGCAGTTTAGGGGGTGGGTGAGCACTGGTGGTCAGGTGTCCTGGGGAAGAGGGGGGTGGGAAAGCCAGTGAGCAACATGGAGAACAACAGATCAGGCATGTAAAAGGCAGGCTGGAGGGGCGGATTAGTGCTCTGGATGTGCACCAGGAGCAGCTGGAAGTCCCATGCTTGCAAATATAATGGCACCAGACAGCTCTGGCCTGGGGCCAGCGGGATGCTGTGCCAGGGACCCCCTCTGTGCCAGAACCAGCCCTGTACCACAAGACTGGTGAGGAGAGATGGGTCCTTGTCCCCTCTGCAGCCCCTCCACGGTCCCTCCCCAGCCTTCCTCAGCCCCACTGCCTCGTACCCCATGTCCCTCCTCATCCCAGGCCCCACATGAAGCCTTCCTCAGGTGGTTAGTGTGGTGTTCCCATCCCTTTTTCTCCTCTGTACCATGCTCTGTAAGCCAGTTTCTCCTCTTGGGTCTGCTCTGCCTTCCCCAGCGAGGACTACAAGAGGCACTTCACCCCCCGGGACCTGCTGGTGTTTTCGGCTCATCCCCTCCTGGTTTATCCCACCCACTATGCTGGGGACAGCAACTGGCTGAGCGACACCGAGACCTCCACCATCTGGGACGATGATGCCAAGAAGACTGACTGGGCTGGCTCACAGAAGACCCTGAGGGACTCACGGGGCAGTGCTGGCCACCTCCGCTCCACCGCCCGCGACGAGCTCTGATGGTGAGTGGGGCTGTGGGACCTGGGCATGGGGGACAGAGCAGCTGGGGAGCATCTTCCTGCGAGTGCCATGTTTGGATGTGACCCACGTGCTGAGTTTCTTTCTGCCATGTGGCAGCGGCTTTCCCCATCAGACTCATTGGGAAACAGACAAGGCCATCTCTTCCAGATGGGGAAAAGGATGGGGATACAGATGCTTTGTGTGGGGCTGCACTGAGCTGCAGGGGACCAGGTCCTGCTGCCCCACAAGTCCATGCTGCTTCCCAACCCTTCAAGTGAAGAAGGGACAATGCTCCTTTGCCTGTTGCAAAGTCACTTTAGTGTGAAGAACTGGAGCATGTCCCAGGGGAATATCTCATCCCAGTGCTGCTTGTTCCCCCAAAAGAAGGTCTCCCTGTTTCCGTGGGCAGCCGTGCAGGCAGGCACTGGCTCAGTCCCAGGGCAGCACGGCCATGGTTAACGCCGGGTCAGACTTTCCCTGCCTGTGATTACTTGTCCTGGCAGCAGAACTGCCCTGAAAGCTGCCAGACCGGGGGAGGCTGGAAAACAGCCCTCCCACCGGTGAACGTGTCGGGGCTGCTCCTGCCGTGACCGCTAACGTCTGTGTCCGTGTCTCCTAGGGATGAGGGATCGTGACCCAGCTGGGAGCACCACGGGCCTGGGCCTGATCCTGCCTGTTCCCACTCCAGAGATGCAGCTGCCCCAGACAGACCTTCACAGGGTTCTTCAAATCTGCACATGATGAATCCACCCAAGGCAGGATTTGCCCCAGGAGAGTCTGCCAGGTGGAGGGACCAGGGGAGCACTGTGCTCCATCTCTGCCGAGGACATATCTCCAGGACTGCCCTGAGCGATGCCAACTCTGCCATCTCCCCCTGGCCTGGACTTTGGGGAGTGTTTTTCAGGCCAGGGACTGGCTCCCATGGTGGCACACGTGGCCTCCTGCCACCGACCGGGCTTGTCCCTCGCCAGTGCCGTGTCTGGGCAGAAGCCAGGGAGGATTAAAGCAGACTGTGTTTGAGCTGACATGCTGGGTGCTGGCATTGCCCCACATCCCCAGGGCATACCCACCAGGGTCACCTTGGAGCTGCAGTGGAAAGGGTCTGGTGGTTCGCCCATCTGGGAATTGTTTTGGGAATGAAATCTAATGGGGAAAGGGAGGGACGGAGGGAGGTGGGAGACTGAAGCTCTCCCTTGGGGTCTGGGGGTGAAAAGTGGGTGGCATCTCCAAGGAGCTCATCTCTCCTCTGGGAATGGAGGTCATGGAGCAGTGGGTGGAGGCCTTGGTAGCATAGACCCACATCAAATGATCCAGGAGAGCATGCTTTGGAGCAGGTTGAACAGCTACAGCATGGACCTCCTGAAGGGGAACAGTGCACTCCAGGAGATCATGTGGGACCTGAAGATCCAAGTGGATCTACTGGAGAACAGGGAGAAGGAGATGGCCAGTGCTTGGTCTGCAAGTACAACATCTCAGCCAGTACAGGCATGGGAAACACAGTAGGGTGGGAAAGGGATGATAGGTTGGGAATACCTTTGCTTCCCTGCCTGTCCCCTGGTTACAGGTAGCCTCAGTGCTCCAGGAGGAGCTCAGGAGCTGAGGATGGAGCAGAGGAAGGCCTGGTGCCAGCTGGAGTGGAGGAAGGAAGCGGCAGGAACGCTAACATGTCACCCAGCAAGGGTCCCAGTGCTTGTTCCAGCACCTGCTGGGATGTGGGCAAGGAGCTGCCTGTGCTGGGGGTCTTGGTACTCATGGGGTATGGAGCTGGGCAGGACGTGCAGGCAGAGCCCAGGACTCTGGGACACAGCAGTGGTGGGGACACACTGCTTCTCAGGCTGCCCTCTCCACCACGAGACCTGCACCAGGTCTGCAAGGAGCAGCCAGAACTCCTGCAGCTGTTGGAAACTCCAGGGTTTTGGCTTGAAACACCAAACTCAAAAACTGAGGCCAGCTCTGAAACTTGCTGCAGCTCAGTGGGAGCAGCATGCTGCAAGATTCCAGGTCGTGTGTGCTTGCCACAAAACTGAAGTGACGTTGGACCCCATGGATGTAGTTATCATCGCTCCCCACTTCCCAGTGGAAGTTGCCCTCCATCCTGAGCTGGTGGAACAGGGACGGGAACACGGATTTAAGCTGCACAGCCAGAGCTCAGAAGGCAGCACACGTAAGAGAGGCAAGAGCAGAGCAGAGTTGGGGTAAAGGTTTATTTCACTTCTGTGCTAAGCTGCCGTATGGAGCCATTGCAGGGATCTGAGTGGGACACGAGCTGTCCGGATCTGTGTGGGGATGGAGTGGGGCTGCCCCAGCACCAGGCCAGGCTGCCCGCAGGGCCAGCTCTGCTCCACACCACGGTCACCCCAGAGAGCCCACAGTGCCCTGTCCAGCAGCCACACGGGTCCCTGGGGGTTTGTGTTAGCCCCTGTGCCCTGACTGCCCTGCGGGAACTCTGCACTGGATGTGCTCCAGCAGGCAGGTCACTGCCTGGGCCAGGACCTGTTCCAGCCTCTCCCTCTCCTCAGCGCTGAACGGAGCCAGGACATAGCTGGACACTGTCACGTCACCCTCTGGCCGCCCGATTCCAACCCTGAGCCTGGTCATCTCCTGGGGAGGAAGGAGGAGAGATGGGAGAGTTTCGCTGTGAGGACTGAGCCAGAGCTGGGCAAGGGGACAGTGCTGGGCAGCGAGGGAGCAGCTCCTCATGTTTTCCAGGTGGTTTTGAGTGCTTGCTCCAAGAAACATGATTTTGGAAGAGGGTTTTGTTGAGCTGTGCTGAGATCCTGTGCTCCTGCCAGGCCTGGCAGAGCTGCTCAGGCTAATTGTTTCCATGTCCTCCACAGCGGCCAAACAGACATCAGCCCGAGGGGAAGGAGAAAAGGGGAGAGAGGGAGCAGGGGCTTGTCTGAGGGGAGTCAGAAGAACAGGAGTGGGGGGACAAGCCATGCATTGAGGTGTGGGGCAGGATTGGTCCCCTCCCACCAAGGCCCACTCACGTTGGAGTGCAAAGCACTGATGCAGGATCTGACCCCGTTGTGTCCCCTTGGGAGAGAAGAAAACCCACTGTTAGCCTGTAAGAGACACCACCTCCCCCTGGCATAGTCTCAGTGTCTTTGCTGCAGGGACCTGGGGTTGTGGTCCCGGCCAGGGGCTGCAGACCCTATGTGCTGGCTCTGCAGGAACATCCAGCCCTGGGGGCTCAGCAGCTGGCTGGGGAGGACAAGGGGAAGCAGGGTTGGGACAGCACGTTCCACGCGTCTTGGCTCCTGCCACAGCTGGTGTGTGTGACTGAGCACTGGGGCCCAGCACCATCCCTGCCCCATCCCACAGCGGAAGATTTCCTAGGTTAAATGTGTCCAGGCTGACCCGGGAGCTGGTGCTGGGCAGGCACAGTGCTATAAAAAGCCCATGTGGTGCAGTGGATGGGCTGGATCCAGCCCACAGTCGCTTCGAGGAGGCTCCCTGCCCTCCCTGCCAGGGCAGGAACTGGGAGCCTGCCCGAACCGCCAGCTGTTGCCTCTGCAATGGATCGAGCCTGGGGCTGAAAAGACTGCAAGGCTGGTGGGATGAGGCCAGGAATGGCCCATGAGCCTGTAACAAACCAGCTAACACAACCAGAGAGCTGTGGCCACTCCATACCTGGCGCTGCCTCCCTGCTTGATCGCCACCTTGCCCAGGGCCTTGTCCAGGTCGTCATGAACCAGGTAAACATCTTTTGGGCCAAGGTTGTAGGTCTTAGCTTTGGAAACAGAAACACAGCCCAAGAAATGAGTGGGAGACAGAATCACCAGGCCCTGACCCTGCAGAGCAGGGCAGGGGGACAGCAGGGCACTTTGGGGGTGAGCTCACCAGCACTGGCCACGCTGAGCCCGTTGAGGTTCATGAGCCTCCGTGGCTTGAGCAGCACCAGCTCCACGCCGTGTGCCGTGGCCAGGGCCACGTCAGCACAGCACTGC